GTTAGCTGGGAGAAGTATGTCCCCTAGGAGCAGTAGGCCAGCTTGGAGCAATAGGTCAGCTGGAAGCAGTAGATAAGCTGGAAGCAGTAGATAAGCTGGAAGCAGTTGGTCATCAAAGTCCAATGGGAGCAGTAGGTCACCTGAGAGCAGTAGGTCACCTGAGAGAAGTAGGTCACCTAAGTGAGCAGTAGGTCATCTGGGAGAAGTAGGTCACCCGAGAGCAGTAGGTCACCTAAGAGCAGTAGGTCACTTGTTCCTGTTTTCTCAAGCAGGCAGCAATGACATTGACGAAACGACATGCAGCGGAAACTACTTTGTTGTAGCCCAACATTTCTTTGTTTTATCTTATTGCTCCGAGACAGCGCCCTCTGGACGTATGCAAAGTCGTAAACCACATGACGTAACCAGGTGTGCGCTATTTTTAACCTGCATGTCTAACTACCGATTTCCACCCTTTCAAATTTAAACCAAACGGTAGGAATGTGTTCCCGTTTTAAATGTCACAGCGGATTTTTTCCGGTATGAAATAATGTGTTCGCTGACGAAGTTTTGGAAAGTCAACTAACTTGTTTTTTTTTTAACTTGACAAGGATGTCATTTGTTCGTCTAGACTTTGTTCTAAATGTGGACTGGTCATCTATATACTACTAAAAGTCAAGTTTGTTTACATGTTTGAATATTTATTTGTTTGCCTGATCGAAAATTGTGATATGTTCGACTCTATCTGGAAAGCTGTAAAATGGTATGCAGGTAGAGAATAATTTTTTAATGCAGACAGACTGTTGATCACAAATTTATTTAAAGACGTTAATTAATTAATTGATTTATTCATATGCAGATTAACCCATTTTTTTAAAAAAGATTTGAAAAGCCACTAGACTCGACGGAAACAGTGACGTCACATGATGTGTTTATTTTTTTACATCGATAATGGCGGCCTATCGAAGAAGATTGTGTTCCCATTCCAATGTTTAACGCGTTCTAAAGCTAATTTTCTGTCGGCTTTAACTTTAACAATACGTCCGTTTGCTGTATTTATTACGTTCCAACACTTATATCAATTTTCAACTGTCTTTTTCATTTAGTTTTACAATAAATTTCTCTAGATCTAAAGATCTGCTGTCGAAGGAAAGTTATGAATCTAGAATCTAGCCTAGGGCCTAGATCTAGATCTAGGTCACTAGACTCAATGTAAATTCTAGATCTAGATTAATGTAAATTCTACATCTAGAATCTATTTCGGGCCTTAATTATTTTATATAAATCTTTGTTTAGCTTCAATGATCATCTAATTCGAGAATACATGGGCTTTTTTTGTTATCTACGTTCTATATCTAGATAAAGTAGGATTACTCACTAGCTTGGAGGCGTGGTCGGCTGCTAACAACAATATGGCGTCCGGACCGGACGCATGACTTCCGATCATTTTTAGGCCATGTTTACCACGAACAAAATGGCGGGTGTTCACATTATTTAAACATTGTATAGGTGGCCAGGGCTAGATATGCCAGAAAAGCATTTTAAAATTTGCTTTGGAGAATGAAGGCTAAATTTTAAAGTCAGTGTCATAAACATTAATAGAACTTTTTTTTTTTTACGTTTTCAATTATTTTTTCTTAAGCCCTATATGTGAATGATAAGGTTGACTATCAGGACCTCGCGGGGCACAGGGCAGGTGAAGTAGGGTTCATCTGTTTCTTTGTCCTAAACAAATTAAGGGATAGTGTGGTCAGAGACATGCTCGGCTGGAATAGTTTTTGTTGTCTGAGACTTGGCGGGACACTGGGCAGGTGAAGTAGAGTTGAGTAGGTCACCTGTGACGTCAGTATATGAAGGGATAGTCCGAAATCGGTGTTTTCGGTGTTTTTAAAAGATAAGAAACATATTTTTGAATGTGGGGTCTGTTTTTTGTGACGATAAGTGACACTGCAGTAGCGTAGCGAGGAGGGGGGGGGGGGGGCGGGAGGGGAGGGGAGGCGGGGGGGGGGAGGGGAGACGGGGGGAGGTGGTGGGTGGAAGGGGGGGGGCGGGGGACATATGTTGGGGCGCCAAAATGGTTTGGAAAAATAAATTGAAAGGTTGAGGGGGGTTCAAATCGAAAGTTTGAGTGGGGGGGGGGGGGGGGGTTGAAAATCGAAATCTTGGGGGGGAGGGGGTTAAAATCGAAAAGTTTGTCCCCAGGCGCCGGGAAGGGTCGCTATGCCTCTGAGTGACAGACGTGATGTTTTTTGATGGATGACCCCCGAAACCCACAGTTATCCAACGGATGACGGGTATTCTAGTATATTTTTAAAATTCGTCAGTTGTAGCCAATATGGCAAGTCAAATAAAACTTTGCTGACGCAAACAACATACTTTTTCAACGAATAAAAAAAACGTATCTCCAACAAACTGCAATTATTGTAAACAACCAATTATTACACTAATTAAAAAGATGTACAACAAAAATATATAATAAGGCTCTATTAAAAAGACAAAGATTTTTAATGGGCTGATTCTCTAACTAAACAAGTTGACTGGCATTGGCATTGGATTTTTTACAAATCTCGACGTTTTACACCTCACTGATACGGAAAAACATAATTTTGCAATCTTGTCCGTGTGTCTGTGTGTCTGTGTGTGTGTCTGTGTCTGTATCTGTGTAAACACGATAACTTGAGTACCGTTACAGCTAGGTTGATGAAATTTCATATATAAGTATTTTATCAAATTCGTAGATCCGTATCAAGTTTTGAGCGATTTCCGATAACCGGAAGTGGTACTTTTTCTACTTTAAATTTTTCAAAAGCCTATAACTTAAGTACTATTTCAAATAGATAAATGAAATTACACATGTAAGTAAAAGATCTAATTCTCTACCTTCTGTCAAATTTTGAGTCATTTCCGTTGACCGGAAGTACTAATTTACGCTGACCGGAAGTACTAATTTACGCTATTTCCGATTTCTCAAAAAACGCATGTAAACTTATAAAGTACTAATAATATTGCGCACTATTATGCACATTTTGTTTTGGCGTTCGCTTGGTCCGCAATTCTTTTTTCTACGAGATTCTATTCTATTTTTAAAAGTTTAAGTAATTAAAAATCATGTCTATATTCCGAGTTATATAAGAATATTCGAGAAAGTTTAGGGGAGATCACTCCCGGTTTATTTGTTTTAATGTCTTTAGACTTAGAATATAAAGGGATTGTGTGGTCAGAACAACGTGATTGTGCCAAGGGATTGTGTGGTCAGCACAACGTGATTGGGCCAAGGGATTGTGTGGTCAGCACATTGTCCAGCTGTCATCACTTTTCCCAGCTTTGTTCCTGTACCCAAATCAAGTTCATACTATGGGATAGTATTAACCGCCATCTTACCCAGCCGCCCCCCCCCCACCAATTTCACGCCTCTTTTAGGATATAGACAGCCATTTTACCTAGCCCTACCCTCAACCCCCCCCCCCCCCCCACACACACACAAACACACACGTCACCTTGTATAACCACAACACCGTAAAAACACTGCCATCTGTTTCACCATTACAAAGTTTGGTGTTCGCCACAACACTGATACATATAATCTCAGCACATCTCCAAGGAAATGTTTACTTCTACCACACAAGTTATTTTACTAATTATTCTCATCGAAGAGTAAACAAAACCAAATCAGGAGTTATCTCTCCTGTTATTCATCTCCATCTCTAGGTAGGGTTATCGTGTATTTTCGTTATCTTCAATAACAATTTTCTTTTTTTTTTCTGTAAGCCATCCTCTGTCAGAAAAATCAACAACAAAAACACGTGTCTTAATCGTCTGCTGATGGAGTTTGTCGGTGCCTGGTCTAATCTCTGGCACCAGCTAGAGAAGTTGTGAGCAGGGGAGGAGGAGGTGTCAGATAATCTTGTGGTCAGGCTGGTGGGGGTCAAGTCACACATACACAAACATAACGGGGTTTTAGATACAGAAGGGTAAACAGACGAACACACACACATACAAGAAAGCAGTTGAACCCACTTCAGTACAAAAACACAAAAGAAGTTGTTGAAGCTAACTCTACATTACTTGAAAGCTAACTCTACATTACTTGACATACAAATGCCTCTTTCACTTTACAATAAATATGTAGTGCATATATAGTTGCATTAAATTGTATACTGAGATCTTAGTATATCTCTTTTACAGTAAATATAATAATGCCTTGCTTATTTAATCTCAAAGGCGTTTCTATGTGTGTAACCCATAAATATAACGCCGAGCGCATTATCATTTATAAATTAATAGTTTGCGAAAATTGTATTTGTAGTAAATTTATAGATCTGGGGAAAGGCCTGATTGAATATGGTAGGGCGTGTGGTTGCTAACCCGAAAGTCTCGAGTTCGGAGTCCACTCAGCTCTGATGGGTACCCGATTCACATTAGAGAATCAAAGGCCGAGGTAATAGAAACTGATGAACTCTACTTGATCTGCCCCATGTGTTTTGGACACAAACGAAAATAATTGAAGATGAAATTTATAGATCTAGTAGTTCAAGCCCTAGTTAAGTCTATGAGGATTCTCTTAATTCACTTATTAAGGAATAATTTAAATGCATGGAGAAGTCCAAACCAAAGTTACATACATCTATAGATTCTTTAAATTAAATAATTCAAGTCGGCGAACGTAGTCGTATCTGTTGTAGGCCTAACTTTTTGTACACCTTGGAAAGGTTAAATTCATTTGTGCCGTGTGCATGCCTCGTCACACTTGCAATCTATTTTCTAGCTACACACTACACGGTTGAATCTAACACCAAAAAAACTCATCTTCAAAAAATTTATTTCATTATTCGAATCTGATTTTGGATAGGATTAATTTAACATAGTAATGGAAAAATAAGTATTTTTCGTGGGCTAAATATTTATTGGATATGATTTAATCCAGCGATTAGACCAGCGTAGTTAAAAAAAAACTGCCCATAGCGTTTCGTGTAAACGGGCCGAAGTGCTAGTAAAGCAAATTAAGGTCAATAAATACTTACATGCCCTCGCTTTTTAATATATCCTCGAGTTCCGCTGGCAGGTCGTAGCCCGCGTTGTCTAGTCCTAATTCACGACCTGGAGGAAGTTAATTGCATTGTAATTAGTAACCTCATTAGTGATTTTTTAGGACATGCAAACTTCTTATTTTAAGAGCATCACAACCCAATACTGTTTGATTGTTTGTTTACTTGTCGTGTCTGTGTCACATCTCTAGGCGGGTTTTTTTATAATAGTTTCTATAATACATATTGGTATGAGGGGGGTTGGCACGGTTTATTCACCTGGGGTTGTTTAAATTTAAATACATGTATCACAATGTAATCAATTACAGACAGGTGGTCGGTGACGCCATATGCCTACAGCGAGGATGGGGTTGTGTGGCCAGCACAATATGATTGTGCCAAGAGATTGTGTGGTCAGTATAGGGGGTTGTGTGGTCAGTATAAGGGGATTGTGTGGTCAGTATAAGGGGATTGTGTGGTCAGTATAATGTGATTGTGTGGTCAGTATAATGGGATTGTGTGGTCAGTATAAGGGAATTGTGTGGTCAGTATAAGGGAATTGTGTGGTCAGTATAAGGGGATTGTGTGGTCAGTATAAGGGGATTGTGTGGTCAGTTTAAAGGCATTGTGTGGTCAGTATAAGGGAATTGTGTGGTCAGTATAATGGGGTTGTGTGGTCAGTTTAAAGGCATTGTGTGGTCAGTATAAGGGAATTGTGTGGTCAGTATAAGGGAATTGTGTGGTCAGTATAAGGGGATTGTGTGGTCAGTATAAGGGGATTGTGTGGTCAGTATAATGGGGTTGTGTGGTCAGTATAAGGGGATTGTGTGGTCAGTATAAGGGGGTTGTGTGGTAAGTATAAGGGGATTGTGTGGTCAGTATAATGGGATTGTGTGGTCAGTATAGGGGGATTGTATGTTCAGTATAAGGGGATTGTGTGGTCAGTATAAGGGGATTGTGTGGCCAGTATAAAGGGATTGTGTGGTCAGTATAGGGGGTTGTGTGGTCAGTATAGGGGGATTGTATGGTCAGTATAAGGGGATTGTGTGGTCAGTATAGGGGGTTGTGTGGTCAGTATAGGGGGATTGTGTGGTCAGTATAATGGGATTGTGTGGTCAGTATAAGGGGATTGTGTGGCCAGTATAAGGGGATTGTGTGGTCAGTTTAGGGGGTTGTGTGGTAAGTATAAGGGGATTGGGTGGTCAGTATAGGGGGATTGTATGGTCAGTATAGGGGGATTGTATGGTCAGTATAGGGCAATTGTATGGTCAGTATAATGGGATTGTGTGGTCAGTATAGGGGGATTGTATGTTCAGTATAAGGGGATTGTGTGGTCAGTATAAGGGGATTGTGTGGCCAGTATAAGGGGATTGTGTGGTCAGTATAGGGGGTTGTGTGGTCAGTATAGGGGGATTGTATGGTCAGTATAAGGGGATTGTGTGGTCAGTATAAGGGGATTGTGTGGCCAGTATAAGGGGATTGTGTGGTCAGTATAGGGGGTTGTGTGGTAAGTATAAGGGGATTGTGTGGCCAGTATAAGGGGATTGTGTGGTCAGTTTAAAGGCATTGTGTGGTCAGAATAAGGGAATTGTGTGGTCAGTATAATGGGATTGTGTGGACAGTATAATGGGGTTGTGTGGTCAGTATAAGGGGATTGTGTGGTCAGTATAGGGGGATTGTGTGGCCAGTATAAGGGGATTGTGTGGTCAGTATAGGGGGATTGTATGGTCAGTATAAGGGGATTGTGTGGTCAGTATAGGGGGATTGTATGGTCAGTATAGGGGATTGTATGGTCAGTATAGGGGGATTGTATGGTCAGTATAGGGGGATTGTATGGTCAGTATAGGGGGATTGTATGGTCAGTATAGGGCAATTGTATGGTCAGTAGAAGGGGATTGTATGGTCATTATAGGGGGATTGTATGGTCAGTATAGGGGGATTGTATGGTCAGTATAGGGGGATTGTATGGTCAGTATAAGGGGATTGTATGGTCAGTATAAGGGAATTGTGTGGTCAGTATAAGGGGATTGTGTGGTCAGTATAGGGGGATTGTATGGTCAGTATAGGGGGATTGTATGGTCAGTATAGGGGGATTGTATGGTCAGTATAAGGGGATTGTATGGTCAGTATAGGGGGATTGTGGAATCAAAGGAGATAGTGCGAGCACACTACAGTTCATTTGCCGAGGTCACAGAAACAGGTGAACTCTGCTTACTCAGTATTGACCGCCAAGATCGAAAGTGTAACTTTGCTTTCCCTTTTAGCATTTCGGCTGATTTTTTAATTCCATTATGGCGAAGAGTTGACTTCGGCCGACAGGAGGATATATATATATATATATATATATATATATATATATATATATATATATATATATATATATATAATTGAATTTGAACTTTACAATTTTTTACAACAATAAAGTTATGTTTCTTATATTTCCCTTTACCGCAGATAATTTTATTTTAGACCTAACCACAGTGACGTAGGCAGGGGGGGGGGGTTAGGGGGGGGGGGGTCATAACCCCCCATAGACCCCTCGGTATATATATATATATAAAGTATGAGGTGGGGGTGCAAATCGAAAGTTTGAGGGGGGGTGCAAATCGAAAGTTTGAGGGAGGGGGTGTGCAAATCGAAAGTTTGTCCCCGGGTAAAAATTGGAAAACCCCCCTTGAGACGATCCTGGCTACGCCACTGCCTAACCACACTACAGTATAGAATAAACCAAACGTATGGCCAGTGTTGGACGAAGGTTCTGATCCTCTAGTCCAAAAATATATGTGTACAACACACGTTCAATGTAAGAAAATGGAAGTAAAAACGGACAATGACTGGCCAAATAAAATTACAATTTGATTTCTCCGGTATAAGGATTTGGAGAATTGGTATTCTTAAAAAAATTGCCTTCCTTCAAGTTGAGCCGTGTCAATTCTTGTGTCCAGCTTTCGAGAACCGTCGCCCGGGCCCGGGCTAGAGCTTCCATCAGGTGTACCTGAGGTTAGTGACTCAGGCCCGTTACCATTCGCGTTACGCATAAGTATGTGCTCGGCGTTAGCTTAGTTTTTGTTTGCCGTCGTGTGGGTCAATACAGAGGTAGAGGAGTCCCACCCCAGGGCCTACACTAACTGCTCGTGTGTTTAAACACTCAATACAGCAGTAGAGGAGTCCCACCCCCAGGGCCTACACTAACTGCTCGTGTGTTTAAACACTCAATACAGCAGTTGAAACACTCAATGTTTAGCCCTACTGCTCGTATTTTTAAACACTCAATATAGCAGTAGAACCTTCCCAATCCATTGCTAGCCCTACACTAACTGGTCATGTATTGAAAGATAATGCTCTCATCCATAAGTCTCCTCTATGCGCTGTACACACTTCTCACCCAGATACCAGCACAACGATGAATAGTTCCATCACCTACGTCTTTGATAATAATCTAAATAACACCGAGTGTATACTATTAATGATAGGTTTATAGTTGTATTAAAATTATGTAAAATTCTCTTTCATACATCACGAACATAGGGGGATTAGAGTTATCGTTTTAGCATGGTATTTGAAGGAAAGTCAACACTGCGACCAGCCGATGTTACTTTCTGCCACTTAATTAAGTGAGGTACAGATTAGTTCTGGATGGACCAATAGATTGTCCATCAGAGCTAGGTGGACCAATAGGGTGGCCATCAGAGCTGAATGGACTAAAGGTAGTCTAGGGCTATGTTTCAAGTTTATGCCTCTATGACGTCACTCAGGAACGAACACGTTCAAATTTTTGATAGATCGTCGGAAGCCCATGAGCCCTCTGTATTCGATACCATAAGATCGTAGGAAGCCCATGAGCCCTCTGTATTCGATACCATAAGATCGTAGGAAGCCCATGAGCCCTCTGTATTCGATACCATTAGATCGTGGGAAGACCATGAGCCCTCTGTATTCGATACCATAAGATCGTAGGAAGCCCATGAGCCCTCTGTATTCGATACCATAAGATCGCGGGAAGCCCATGAGCCCACGGTATTCGATCCCTCCCTCTTCGACCAACGACTCGACCTCCACGAATACCTTTTGTTGACAGCGTGTGATCGAAACGCGATGACGTCACTGTAACTGTTCATGGGCGTACCGTGGGATGAGATAACGGACAGAATTCACCAATCTTTCTTCCACCCAGAGTCCTTAATGGCATCATCCCCCCCCCCTTACTACGCCATTCAAGCAAATCAAAATGTGTTACCAGCTCCACCTAAAAATCACCAAGCCCCATCAGTATCGTTGATACGACGTTCACACCGAGCGACCAAATAGAGAGTGTCACAGTTGAGATGGGTCTACTCAAACAAAACATTGCCAGCCACCTACGTGTTGGCCAACTGTTATATTTTAATGGACGAATCGTCTGCGCGCTGTTATATTGTAATAGATGAATCATCTCTTCGTCCATAGACAATCGAGCTCCATATTTCTGTACACATTTCACTCATGTGCTAGAGACATTCAGGTTTAGGAAATCACAAATATGTAGAGAACCTGAGTTCACCTTCATCGGCGGGTGGGTTTTTTTATGAGTTCATGCTATTTCCGGGCGGGTTTTATTAATAAAGGTGCACAATAAAGGATTAATCTTTTCGCGTGTTTCGTACAATTGTGATGTGTTGTTTGAACTTGTTTCATTACATCATCGTTATCAATAATGACGAACAATGACCTTTGCCCCAACTAATCAATATTCAAACATTTCCGATTGCATAACTTTGCAGGTTTTTTTTAATGTGTTTGTTAGTGATTATTATTGCAGCTTTATCAAAATACGAGCAAATTCTGAAAATAGAGTGTTTGTGGCTGAAGAAAAGCACTACAATGTATAAGATGGTTTATTATAATGGTTTGTGTAAGGTGGTTTAGTCCCTCTGTAAGGTGGTTTGTTGTATAGGTTGTTTGTTGTATACGTTTGTATAGTGGTTTGTTGTATAGGTATGTGTAAGGTTGTTTGTTGTATACGTATATATAATGGGTTGTTGTATAAGCATGTGTAAAGTGTTTTGTGCCAGGGTATGTGTACAGTGGTTTCTT